AGCTGGAGAGAATGCTTGAGTGTTTGGTGGTTAAGAGTACACATTCCTCTTCCAGAGGACCAGCATTGGATTCCCAGCATCCAAATAAGGCATCTCACAACTGCCTGTAACTCCAGTTCCAGGGGATTGTCCAGGGTCACCCACACATGTGACATACATACATACACACACACATACATACATATAATTTTTTTAAAAATTTGTTTAAGAAATGGCATGGATGGGACTGGGAAGATAACTCAGATAGAAAAGTGTTTGTCCTGCAAACATGAGGACCCAAGTTCAATCCCCAGAACCCATGTAGTTTGTTTGTTTTGTCTTTTGAGTCAAGGTCTCACTGTAGCTCTGGCCATCCTGGAATTCACTCTGTAGACCAGGCTGGCCTCAAACTCACAGAGATCGGTCTGCCTCTGCCTCCCAAGTGCTGGGATTAAAGGCGTGCGCCACCACCGCCCAGCTAAAGTCTGAATCTTAAAGAGTGGGAAAAGAACTGAGAAGAAAGCCTTGCAAGAGGTGGCACCAGTGTAGCTGGATAGAAGGTGGCATCGGATCCTGGTATAGGCCAGAAGTGAGGGCTGACCTATTTCCAGTTGGTGTTTTATGGTGGGAAGGTGGGTTCAGAACCTCACCTGGTTACAGAGGGCCTGGTTTAGAAGCTGACATCAACTGCAAAGAGACCAAGATAAAAGAAGTACAGGAACCACAACCTCAGATTGCCTAGGAAAGGCTGGGAGAACGGCAGTAAAGCCCAAAGAGACTTTTCAGTCACTAGACCTGTGTCAAGGGGAAGCAGGGTTCAGGATAGGCCTAAGCAAAGGAATGTTACCCACCAAGGAGGGGCCTCCCAGAGAGGGGGGGGGTGGCCAGCAAGTAACAAAGTGCTCATTGGCCCAGCGGTGGGAGATGGGGACAATAGGGACACTGATTGGCTGAGTAATGTTGGGACAGCTGGGAATGGGCCAATGGCTCCTAGCCATTCCTTCACCAGCATAGGAGCCAGACTGGGGGCTTCCTTCAAGGACTCTGCCACCCAGGGCAGCCTCCCCACCAGCACCTCCCAGAAGTCTTGAGTGGTCCAGGAAGTAGGCGGAGAGGAAGCAGGGTGATCTTCAGGCACTGTAGGATCACGGGAAAATGAATTTGCTGCTGTGGGCTCTAAAGTTGCTGGCTTGGGAAAGATTCACTGTGCTTTCTTCCCTGGGTTTGGTCCCTTTTGCTTCTCCCTGTTTTTGGCCACAGTTCTTTTTAACTTAGCGCCTAATTGTTGGGCTTAGGGAAACAGAACGGGACTGAGTGTTAGGGCTGTTTGGGTGAGGTCCCTCTGCGGGATAGTTCCCAGCCTGGCCGCTGCTTATCTTCAAGGTGAGGGTGGGGGTGAGACTAACCCTGAGTGGCACAGGAGCCCTCGGCTGTACCCCAAATCCTCCATCCCCATCACTTCCCACACACTCCTCTCCTCTGGTCAATAGGATGTAGTTTGTGGGATCTTGGGTGCCCACAGTTGCATCTATCTGTAGTCTCAGGCTTTGCCCCAGCTGAGCCTACATGTTGTCAGCACCCTTTGGAAAACGGTGCTGATGGACCGGACTTGGGGCTCAGGTCGGAGACAGTAAGGCCTGCTGAACTGGGTGAAGGGAGGCTGAAGAGTTGCGAATGAAGGGAGAGGTAAGAGGAGCAGCGGCGTTTGGGTTTTCCCATCCCACTCCGCCCTGAGATTCCCGTCAACTCTGGCCGGCTGTTGTCATAGCACCAGCCGCGTGGGGGCGCTGCTCCCCGACTGTCTGGCTCCTGGGTGACAGCTCGCCATGCCCCCTTCAGTCTGGTCTGTAGTGAAGCTCGGGAGAGGGGCTGGCGGTGGATAAGGTTTTACGAACAGACCATCCGGCCCTGCTGAGCCTTGGCCTGTGGCTCTCATACGCGGTACACTCAAGCTTTTGGCTTCCCAATGAGAAGGGCGGGAACTCTTTCTGCACTGGTGTTTCAGGCCCCCCAGCCTCAGCCTCCCTTGGTCTCCAGGCTTTCTTTTGAAGACTTCAGCCGCACTTTCACAAGACAAGCCCAGCCCCCAGCCTGTCCCCGTCATCCTTGCTAGGCTTCCATTCTTCTGACCCCTCTCTGACTGGCAGGCTCCCCTCCTCTTCCCCAGTCATTCAGCTGCCCAGGGATGTCAGGATGCTGATAGACAGACGGGTCCTCCTCTGGCTTGTATTCTCGCTAGCCTCTCCCAATCACTCCTATTTTCCTATTTTAGCTCCCTCACCTCACCGCCATTGTGTATTTTATCAGCACAGACCTGTACATGTGGGGGTGGGGGGGACTTCTAGATAAGCAAGTGGGCTGGGGATAATAGGAAGGGGCAATGGCCACTCTGCAGATAAGGGTTTCCTGGGCTCCCTTGGGAGGGAGTGCCAATGGATGATGGAGAATGAATGCCCTGGGTTTTGTTGTTGTTTGGGGGTTTTATTTGTTTTTCCTCTGTGCAGCCCTGGCTGTCCTGGAACTCACTCTGTAGACTAAGCTGGCCTCGACCTCCAAGATCCACCTGGCTCTGCCTCCTGAATGCTGGGATTAAAGCTGTGTGCCACCACCGCCGGCTGAGAATGCTCTGGAGACTGGCTTCTTGGAGTCAGAGCTGGTGACTGAAGGAGGATAGAGAGCAGAGGAAATAGGTCCCCGGCTCCAGGCAGTCAAAACGAAGTTTAAATCTTAGCTCTGAAAGCCACTGAGTTGTGTGACCAGCTCAGCCTCAGTTTCCCTATCTGTAACATGCAAATATTGCTACTGACTACAGTCTTCTGTATAGAGGCTCCTGTCTCTGGCAGGTGCCAGGTCACTTTAATCCCGCTTCCTGGCTTTTACCCCAAAGCTATGAACCTTTTTGTATGTATACCAGGCATGCTTAAACTCAGTGTTGGGGAGTCCTCATGTCATCGCTGGGAAAGCTGGAATGCAGGAGGGAAGCCACCAGAATTTGCAGAAGGTGACAGCAGAGAACTGGCCCCAGAGCCCCAAGCACCAGGGTAGGTGGCTGGAGCGGAGACAGCCAGCGCTTCGCCAGTCTGGGTGGGTGGGACAGGAGACAAGGCTGTGCTCCTGCCCCAGCATCCCCCAGGTCACAGGCAGATGACTCCAGCGAGTCCTTTCAGACCCGCCTGTGGAGTGCCAGCTGCTGGCCAGCCTGGGTGCATGGTTTCTTCGTGTCCTGAGCATTTGGCTCCCTCTCTGAATCCCTCTCCCATCTCAGGCGGCAGTAGATTAAAGCTGTCCAGAGGGTGATCATTTCACCCTCTTCCCCACTCTCATCCCTCTCCATTTCCCCATCATCCCCGCCCCCACACTGTCACTCGGGGCCTGCAATCAATGAGACGGAAAATGAGAAAGTGTCAGGAGCTAGCAAAGCGTGGAGAGCAGCTGGGGTAGCCCCTGCAGCGGGGCTGAGTGGGTGGACCCCAGCCCTTCACCCCCAGCTCTGTTCCCAAACCAGCCATTGCTGCCATCCGCTAAGTGCCCAGTTGGACCAGGCTCCCAGCTGGAGGTCAGCGAGGAAGTCTACTGTCAACATGTCCAAAAGCCTCATCTTGAAAAATGTCATGAAACCTGTGTGCCGCTGCAGGAAAATGTGTCCAGGACACACATCGGAGCAGCTGACACCATGGCTCCTATAAAGGGGTTCTATTTACGTTATTATATAGATATTGGTATGCATACAAGGGGTCTTGAGTAGCAGTTACTCCTGGAAGCACAGAAAACACTTCCCCTTTGTTGAACCCCAATAAAGACATATTGCTTTCATAATTAAAAAATAACTTTAGGGTAAAGTATTTCCATTATGGGGAGAAAGGCTCACAGAAACATGAATGGGCCAATGAAAATGACCAGGGACTGGGCTTTGAGCTAAAACTCTATCAATCCAGGGAGGAAGGGCCAATTAACTCCTGCTGCTCCAAAGCATGGGTCTAAAACCAAAGTATATAGAGTTTGCTTTTTTAAGAGCTAGCAGAATATGGTGGCTCAAGACTATAATCCTAGCACTTGGGAAGCAAAGGCAGGAGGATTAAGAGTTCAAGGTTAATTACACAAGTTGAGAGTCTCTCTCTCTCTCTCTCTCTCTCTCTCTCTCTCTCTCTGTGTGTGTGTGTGTGTGTGTGTGTGTGTGTGTGTGTATGTGTATGTTAGAGCTCTTGCCTCACACACATGAAGGTCTGGTTTAGATTCCTACCATGCCCCTCATAATATCTGAAGTAGCCCTTGCTTGCAATTCTAGTACTGTTTAAGGTTACCCTTGGCTACACAACGAGTTCAAGACCAGTCTGGGCTGCATGAGACTGTTTAAAAAAATGGGACAGGTAGTGTACACTTTTAATTCTAGCACTCAAGAGGCAGGGGCAGGTGGATCTCTGAGTTCAAGGCTAGCCTGGTCTACAGAGTGAGTTCTGAGACAGCCATGGCTACACAGAGAAATCTTGTCTTGACAAAAAAAAAAAAAAGAGCGAGAGCGAGAGCGAGAGAGAGAGAAGAGAAAGATTTGTAAGTCTTTGAAATATATAGTTTTTAAGACAGAAGAGCGAGCGTGGCGATGCCGCTGGTGTTTACATACAGCCCACACCTGCATGCAGGGCTCGCTGCCGTGATAATCACGCTGGTGTTTACATACAACCCACACCTGCACGCAGGGCTCGCTGCCTTTTCCAGCCCCGCTGACACAGCACAAGGACCAAGCCCACGTCTTTCCCCACAGTGTTCGTTTCCCACTAACAGGAGCGTGGCCTGGCCTGCTGGAGGTTTCCAGTGAGAAGGGCTCTCCAGGATCACCCCCCCGCAGCCCTGCTCTGCCCACAAAGGGACTCTTCTTAGTCAACAACCTGGGCTGGGAAAGCTGTGGAAGCTTTCAGTCTCCGTCTGAATTTACTGGGGACAGAAGGTGATCGACTGTGAAAGGCCAGGAGGGCCGTGGGTGGTCATTCCGGAGTCCACTTCTAAGGAGTCACGGAGCACAGAAATGCAGTTAGACACGAGTTTATTGGTGGGGCTGCATCAGAGTCCTCCCTCTCCCGAGGGGAAAGCTGAGGACACAGCACCAACAGAGGGATGGACAGACAAATCTCTACACACAGGTAGAGCAGACTCAACAGAGACCAGCAGAGCCACATAAGACACACAGGCCACAGCACCAAAGAACACACACATACAACAGACAAAACCACAGGGCACACAAACAAAGTGCAGGCATTGGGGCCCCTGCATAGACAAAGCAAGGATCACGTGGGGAGGGGGCCCCTGATGACCTCCCCAGGCATAGGCACACGAACAGCACACAGACAGGCAGATGTCCCCAGCTACCAGCCAGCCTGCCACAAGGACACATGAATTGCACAGAAAGGGCAAGCATGACTCTCCAGGCCACATGGAACACGAATGGTGGGGCTTCCACACACCCCACACCCCTAAACTGCTTACAGTAATTCAGTCTGATCCTCCCCTCCTCCCTCTTCCCCCCATGCACACTTTGGTCTTGACCACCGGGGGCAGGGACTGGGGCATTTGGCAGGTGGAAGATGGAGAGAGGATGGTCCCTTCTGTGGTGGGGGGGGCAGGTGCTGAGAGTCCAGGGATGGGGGGGCTGAGGCTCAGGCTTGGGGGGGCTCCCGGCAGCGCAGACACTGGGCCATCTCAGGCTGGTACCGCTCCACCTGCAGGGTGCAGCTGGAGAACCCAAACCGGGAATAGAGCCGCGACGAGGCCTCAGCCAGGACAGCTTCAGGGTCAGCCGTGGAGTCTGTGGGAGGGCGATAAGAGGCAGCTCAGTCCTTGGGGAGTCGGGCACAGCCGAGGGCTGTGATAAGGAGGGAAGGGGGCCCAAGCACAGCACAGCACAGCACAGCACAGCTCCAGAGGACTGAATAGGCCTCTTGATCTTCCTTCTGCATCACTGCATTATATGAACAGCGTAAAAATTGTAAAGAAAACATGAGACTCGCTGCAATGGGTCATGCTGACGCACCAAACTGCCCAGTTACCGATTGCTTCCTGCCTTTGAGCATCAATACACAGCTGGATAGTTCGGCAGCCACACCACCGTCTTTCCAGGGCAAGCCAGATGTTAAGTATTCTGCCCCACTGTCCCTCTCAAGTTACCATCCAACATCCCACAAGTTATGATATTTTTGGCATCCAAATTGCATGCCTCTGATTGCTTCTTGCATCTGGGAGAGACTCAAAAACCCTTTGTCAGCTCATGAGTCACTGTATATGTATTTTAATAGTTGAATCATAATGTAGATATAATTTATATTCCGCTTCTTTCTTCCTCAAGCATTATACCACAAACATTTTCCCTAGTTGCCATACAGGCTTCATAATTACCACTTTAAATAGCAATGTGATCCCCTACTGAGGGGAGCTGCCACCATCACCGAACTACATCCTGAAGCTACTGGTAATGTTTTAAAGGTACCAGGTCCCCATGTTGCTTCAGAGATGGTATTGCAAGGACCCAGGCCTCCTGGTCTCTAGAGCACGTGTGAGTACGAGCATGCACACAAATACGTGTCAGAGAGACCAAAAGAGATCAAAAAAACAAAGACAGCCAAGGTATCTCAGGGAGACTGAAGCAGAGGACCTCAGGGATACCCTGGGCTACATAGTGAGACTCGTTCTCAAACAAATAAACAATGCCTCGATACGCCAAGCTACTGCCATAGGTGGACACAGAGGGGCTGGTTCTGAGACGGCACTGGCTAAGCCTGGGTTAGCGTTGACTCACCAATAGCCAGGTGTGCAGAGGCGACATGGTAAGTCAGCGTCAGGGCCCACAGGTGGAGCTCATGTGTTGCTCGGACTCCCGGCACTGACAGCAGTGTGTCCCTTACAGGTTCAAAACCCACACTGCGAGGGGCACCTGCAACCAAGGCCACCATGTTGCTGCCAGGGCCTGCCCTGTCCAGGAGCAGCACCACCAGACTCCAACTCCCCCGTCCGTCTCATACTCCCCACCCTGTTGACCCCAGGCCTCTTTCTGGCAATAGCCCTCATGAACCAGCTTTCTCACACTATTTGAGAGACAGGGTGGGAGCTTAGCCCCAGGGTGAAAGCTGATGGAGCCCTGGGGTGGGAGCTGAGGGAGCCCCAGGGTGGGAGGTGAGGGAGCCCGGGGTGGGAGCTGAGGGGGCCCCAGGTGGGAGATGAGGGGGCCCCAGGTGGGAGATGAGGGAGCCCCGGGGTGGGAGCTGAGGGGGCCCCGGGTGGGAGATGAGGGGGCTCCGGGGTGGGAGCTGAGGGGGCCCCGGGTGGGAGCTGAGGGGGGCCCCAGGTGGGAGTGTCAGTATTGAATTCACCTTCCATGAGGATGCGCAGAACATCTCGAAGAGTAGGGGCTGTGGATCCAAGGGCACAGATAGAGAAGAGGAACGTGCTGATGGGGTCAGCCGCCTTGTACTGAGGCTGTAGAGAAAGTGACGTCTCTTAGAGGAGGCTCTAGGTTCATCTTGGCAAACAGAACCCAAAGGGATCCTGAGACTCTCACAGCGGGGGAAGGAGACACCCTGGGAAGCTGGAAGCCGAATGAAGACGGCGAGGGGACCAGGAGAAAGGAGGTGGGACACAGGACAGGGAAAGGAGGCTGAGGCACCCTCCACAGCGGTACCTTGAAGTAGATGAGAATGGAGGCAGCCAGGACCCCCAGGCTCTGGAGGAGATCTCCCAGCACATGCACAAAGGCAGCCCGGACACTGGTGTTTCCCAGGGGCAGCGGGTATCCTTGCCCTTCCTCCAGCGGTGCATATTCTGTGCCCCTAGATCCATGGCTGTGGGGGGGCCCAGCCTGGTGTAGCACAAAGGCCATTCTGAAGGAGGAGAGAGGTTCAGCTGCATGGCCTGTTCTTCTTCCCCTGCAGTACCCGCCTCCACCTGTTTCCCATCCCAGAAAGATAACACCACCTAACAGAAAATTTATACTGTCGGGGGCAAAAGATACTGGACCTGGGGTCAGAGATGTGGATCCAGGTCCGGGCCCTGCCTATTTAAATAGTCTATTGCCCCCCACCCCGGCAGTATCTTTATAGGATACTAGGAGGGAAACCAGTGCTCACGGATTGATAGACTCAGATGAGGTCATACTGGTAAAGCAGGGCTTAGTATCCAGTAAGTCCTCAACAGACACTGCCTGGCTGAGTGTCTCTTTCCCACTCCTTTTCAGGCACACCCAAAGAAGACAATGCGTGCAGGCGTGCAGGCGTGCAGGCGTGCGTGCGTGTTACCATCCTGGAAAAAGACCCTCTCTCTCACCCTGGACCCCACCTGGCGCCCACTCCACACTGGGACGTACAGCATGTTGGCACAGACAGCAATGCTGGCGGTTAGCAGCATGGCACCCCCCTCGATGTGGTAGTCACTATGCAGCAGGCGGATGAAGGCCAGGTACAGCAGGATGCCAGTGACCATCCAGAGGGAGACCACAGAGGCCAAAGCCCCCAGAGTCTCTGCAAGGGGAGACAAGCTGTCAGGTCAGGGCCCTAAGGCCCTGGCAGGGCTGGCGGGGAGGCTGGGCACCGAGTCATGCATGGCTTTACCTGAGCGGTGCCAGCCAAAGGTCATGGTTCGGGTGGCTGGCCGAGTGGAGAGCCAAAGGGAGAAGAGGCTGCCCATCATGCTGCCTACGTCTGCCAGCAAGTGAGCAGCATCGGTCATAATAGCCAAGCTGTGTGCCAAATACCCACCTGCAAAGGGGGAAGGCAGAGCCTGGAATTCCAGGAAATATGCAGCATGTATACACAGGAATGGAAAAGAGAGGGGGACACCAAAAAAGACCGGGCTTTGTCAGGGGCTAAAATTACAAGTATTTTTTATTTTTTTATTTTATTTTATTTTATTTTGTTTGTTTTGTTTTTCGAGGCAGGGTTTCTCTCTGTAGCCCTGGCTGTCCAGGAACTCACAGAGATCTGCCTGCCTCTGCCTCCCAAGTGCTGGGATTAAAGGCATGGTCATGTGCCACCACCACCCAATCTATTAGAGGTATTTTTTCTAGTCTTTCCATAACAATAGATTTGATTTCCATAAAAAGAGAATAGGGTTCTTAAAATGCCAGTTCAGTCCAGCCCCCAGCCCCTGCTGGTTCACCTTGACACCCCTGCACTCTGGTGCTCTGTCCTCCCCGTCCCTCCCAGCCTTGTCTTTCCATTTCTCCACCCAGGAAATCTGGACTTCTTGATGGAGAGTGGCCTAGGAAGTACAGAATATGGGACTGGGGGGTGTCCCCAACTTACCAACCACCTCCCCAGCCATGAAGATGAAGCACACAGCACAGGCGGCACACAGCTGCCTCCGGGCCTGCAGCCTCTCAGGAGAGAGGCCTGACTGTGGCGTGGGGTCCTTATGGCAGTGGTGGAAGGCCATCCCCTCAAGCTTGGGCTCCTCAGGGAGGGGCTCTGAGGGCTCTGTGAAGAGACTGAGGCAGGCGACATGGTCACTCTTGAGCCTGACCACAGGACTGGCCTGGTCACTCACAGGCTGAGCAAATGGGCCCGTCTCTGCCCCTCTGCTAGACCCAATCATGCCTGAAGCCTTCAGGGCATGTGGGGGCTCACAGGAACACTCAACCCAGGCTCTTCCTTCCTTCCAAACACAGGGCCATAGAATCCCATATCTGAAAGTCAAGTCTAATTTTTTTTGTTTGTTTGTTTGGTTTTGGTTTTTTGAGCCAGTGTTTCCAAGTAGCTATGGAGCCTGTCCTGGAACTTGCTCTGTAGACCAGGCTGGCCTTAAACTCACAGAGATCTGCCTGCTGGGATTAAACCTGAATGCTGGGATTAAAGGCCTGCACCACCACTGCCCGGCTAAGTCTAATGTTTTAACAAATGAATGTAAACTAAGGTTCAGGGAGGGGAGAAGCGAGAGGGGCCTCACTGCTGGCAGGTGGTGGAGCTGGGACCAGATACTGACCAAAATTCTATACTATGAGAGGCACCGAGGAATGCAAAATGGACAGCCACTCTTCCTGGGTGACGAGCGCCCTTGGTGAATGAACGAATGTGGACTAGACACGAGGGCACACAGCAGAAGGCAGAAGCTGTTGCTGGAGAAATTCTGGTGCTCTCAAATGAGTTCTAGTGGGAAGACCACAGAAACCATGTAAGGAAGCATTGAAAACTGGGGAGGGTTTGGACAGACAGTCGCAGCGCCAGAGAAACAGAAGAAAGCTGGTATGAGAACACGGTACACACAAACCCGCTCATTGCATCTCTCTCCAATGCCTTGGTCCCCAAACCCTCTCTGTCCCTTCCTTTCAGGACAGGAGGTACAAGCAAGCAAGGTCCTCTGAAAGGGTGTAGGAACTGGCCCGATGACTCATGTCTGCAGTCCCAGCACACAGAAGCTGAGGCAGGAGGCTCAAGAGTTGAAGGTTAGCCTTGCACACATATGAGGGGAGCGAGAGCAGGGTTGGCACGGCGGACGGGGTCCTTCCTGCTACAGCTGGGGTGGTAGTGACAGGAGCAATGGATTTAGAGTCCAGCCCATGTCACCTGGAGCCCAGCATGCTGGCACATCCCTTGACAATAGGGATGGGGCCTTACCGAGGGATGCCACAGGTAGGACTCAAAGTGACTGTGTTTGGACCTATTCTAGCCCAGTTCTCACTGACCCCACTGTCCTTCCTAGACCCAAGTAAGGAAAGAACAAAACAAAGAAGCTCAACACAGAAGACAGTCCTGAAATTCAGGAGTAACCAGGATCCCTGTGGGAGAATGATGGCTCTAAACTAAGATCCCGGCAGGGACAGAGCAGCAGCAGCTATCTGACTGAGAAAAACACTGCTCGGGTGGGGCCGAGGTGGGAGCAGCCAGCGGTTACAGAGAGAACTCAAGAGTGGGAAGGTAAGCTTACTTCTTCAATGAAAAGCCCCTTCCCAGAATTGAGAACGAGTGTGCATGATTCCGGTGTTCCCAGAAGAGACAGCGAGAGGACAGTGGCTTCAGAGCCCATCCCTGTTCGGTCCATGAGATATGGCAAGCAGTATCCAACACAAGGAGCCTCAGTCTGGTGGGAGACAAACGCGATTTCTACCAGGGAGAGGCCTGGGGGTGGGGGGTCTGAACAAATCACTTCAGGGCACAGAGGAGGGCCTGAGAGGAAGTCACAGCTCTAGAAGATGTTCCTGACAGGCAGGATTATAATGACAAGGTACGCAGCCTGGAATATAAGTGCAGTCCTAGGTGAAGGGCTGAGTGAAGCGGCTCAAAGGAAGGAAAGAGGAGACCCACTGGTTGACAGAGCAAATATCTTCATGTTGAAATGACCTTGATGGTGGAGTGCAGGAAGGAGGACATAGAAGAGTCTAGAATGGATCTGGCCGGAGGCTCTGCCAGGCACAGCATCAGAGGAGGGTCAGGTAAACAGACAGAGCCTTGAACAATCCTGCCGGATTTGGTGACTAATGGTCATATGAGGATGAAAATGGTCCAGGAGATGAAGATGCAGTCTGAAGAGGACACAGATGCTGGGCAGTTTGGAGGCTATAGCAAGACACCTTCCTTGGGCTTTTAAGATGCAACACAACCAGCCATCAACATAGTCACCCATCAACAGGCTGCCTCCTTTTGTTTGGCATCAAGTGGGCACTAAAGGGGCCTCTCCGCTGGGGTGTGCAGGTGAGGAGACGTTTTGTCCAGGGCTGGAGGCAGTTTCCTTCCCTGGCCTTCTCTGAAACCCCCCCCACCCCGCCCCGACAACAACAAAACGATATCGCATGGGGGGAAATGGTGAAGCCTGGGGTATTCCTTGGGCAAGTAAGCGAGGCTGATGCAAAGTCAAAAGGGTATGGGGAGCAATGCCAGGGCCACCGCTGGAGCCCCACAGCTGCCCACCACTGCAGTCCTCTGCAGGAAGAATCCTTCCTTCCGTTCAGCTTCCCCATTCCCCCACCCACTCAGGTTTAAGGCCCCCCTCCCAAGGAAAGAACTGGGGCCACGCAGAAGACCACAACAGAGACAAAAGGAGAGGACAGGGAGGGAAATAGAAAGATTGAGGGAGATGAAAGAACAGAAAAAGCCAGAGACCCTGTCAAATTCTAGAGACAAACGGACGGTCGGCTTCTAGACAGAATGGCTAGCGGAGGTGGCCAGGAAGGGCCTGTCACTGTGGCCGCTCAAGATGGCAGGGCAGACGGAACCGGCGGCGGGCGGCGGGAGCGGGCGGCCCGCAGGGTGCGGGGGAGGTTC